GGGGTGTCTGTGTGTGACTCTAGACTGAGGGTGGGGTGACACTGGGGTGATGGGGTGTCTGTGTGTGACTCTAGACTGAGGGTGGGGTGACACTGGGGTGATGGGGTGTCTATGTGTGACTCTAGACTGAGGGTGGGGTGACACTGGGGTGATGGGGTGTCTGTGTGACTCTAGACTGAGGGTGGGGTGACACTGGGGTGACGGGGTGTCTGTGTGTGATTACAGAGCCCAAGGGTGGTTTTCCCGTTGGGATCATCGTTGTAGTTGGAGTCCTGGTTCTCATCGCTGTCGTTGGGATTGTAATCTGGAGGAAGAGACAGACAGGTGAGTGAGGGGAACTGGACTACACACACACTGCTATACACATTGGACTACACACACACACCGCTATATACAAACACACTGGACTACACACACTACCACACACACACTGCTATACACAATGGACTACACACACACTGTACTAAACACACTGCTATACACACTGTACTACACACACAACCACACTGTACTCAGCACTAACTGTCTCTCTCTTGTGTTTCAGGATATGGCAAAGCTTCAAGTGAGTATAGATCACCTCTGTCTCTGAATTACTGTGTGAAATAACAGGACTGTGAGTATAAACTCACCTGTAGACACAGTCATTAGTGTTTCAGGATATGGAGACTCTCAGTGAGTATAGATCACCTCTCTCTCTGAATTACTGTGTGAAATAACAGGACTGTGAGTATAAACTCACCTGTAGACACAGTGATGATGTCCAGGCTTTAGGGGTGAGAGAGTGGAGAGTCATCAGGACTCACACACTCCTCAGTGTTACAGTGACACACTGTGAGTGTTGGTGTGTTGTGGAGTGTGTGTCCTAACAGGATGTGTTGTGTCATTGTAGCTTCTTACAGCGACTTCAACTCCTCCAACAACCCCCCAGCTAAAGCATGAAGATCCATCTGAGGTACCTGCTCTCACCTCTGTACATAATCTGTATTCACACACACACACCTGTGTGAGACACCTGTACCACACACTACTGACACACACACACCTGTCTGAGACACCTGTACACACACTCTAGTCACACACACACCTGTCTGAGACACCTGTACACACACTCTAATCACACACACACACCTGTCAGAGACACCTGTACACACACTCTAGTCACACACACACACCTGTGTGAGACACCTGTACACTGTGTCACTGCCGTGTTTCTGTATTTCCAGGAGAGACATCATCTTCTGAGACTGCACAAGGAGATGGAGCCATACTGTATGTCTAACACACATAATCACTCAGTGAAATACTTCACTTACATTATACAAGTCGCAGCAGCAGACAACCTGTCTCAGGAGCCCGGCCCTTCACTCCTCATAGATACTGTACCAGGAGATTTTTTTAAAAATTGGCATTGATCTGGAAACCAGTAATTGAACTGGTTGGTTTCGAACTTTGTGGGTCTGTTTTCTTGTCTATCGCTAGTTCTAGAAAAATATTTTGTGTGTGTGTGTCTCTTTTTCTGACTTATGTCAATGGATTGACTCCTTAAAATAACTTCCTGGATTTAGGGAGTCCAAGACACTGTGAAATTATGCTATATGATCATTAGTCTGTAATACTTCTCTATTTCTATGATTAATGGATTTAACAGGCTGTTACATTGTATAGATTGTTACAGTGTATAGATTATGTTTTGTGATATAACGCTGGCTTCTGTTATTCAGGGTTCGGGAGTTTATAGGGTATTGATTTTTTTCATGGTTGATCCACTGAGGTGGGTATTTATTGAATCTCAATAAATAAATGATGAGTTGCAGGG